TTTGAACATGGTTCAACTCTCCATGACGTTGACTTCACAACACGTTTCGTTATCTTTTTTTCAGTCCATGGTGTAACACGTTGTTCCAATGTTCCTGTAAATTTAAATAAATAATACTTAGTAAAATATATGATAAGTTACGAATTTAAAGAAATAATACCTGCATGGTTTCTTTTCTTGTAGTACCACTGTTGAATAGAGGCTCGAAAAAACTCCATTAACATAGTAATAGGTAATTTCCGGGAATGACGACTTAGAGCGTTGATTGATTCTGCACTATTAGACGTCATGAAACCATATCTTGCTCCAAGTTGATGTACTCTTGACCATCTTTCAAACCCGACATCTTCTAGTGTTTGAGCACACTGAGGCAAAACACGTCTTAAACAATTTATATGCTTATTAAAATCTACTTCCCGATAAGCTTTTACAGCCTTCCAGTATGTCCATTTGTGATTTTTTATACCAGCAGACCTTGATTTTAGATTTCTATACAAATGAACACCACAAAGTCCATGAAAATCATATGGGAAACACCTTCTAACAACGTTGTCAATTGAGTTTGCCCTATCGGATATGATTTTCAGATTGCTAATAGGACCTATGCAATCCCTAAGATGCCCCATAAACCATGTCCATGAATCAGAGGTTTCAGATTTGCCAAACCCGTAAGCTATTGGCAGTATCCCATTGTTAGCATCCATGGCTACTGCTAATAAGTTTACTCCAAGGTATCGACCTTTTAAATGTGCTCCGTCAACTATAATAACTGGGCGCATGCAAGTAATAAACGAACGAATCTACAAAATCATATACACAAGAAATATAATCATTTAAATGTGAAATGCATGTAACTAACAAAAATGAGTCAAAAAAATTATATTGATTTACTAACCGCAGCACCAATGGCGATAAACAGTAACTCAAAGCGTCCATCTCTATCTGTTTTGATATGAGTTACCGACCCAGGATTTTTCAGCTTTAAATTGTGACAATAAGCCGGCAGTTGGGCAAACGATACTTCTGGCGACCCCCTCAACAATTCCAAGGCATGACATTTGGCTCTCCAAGCTTGAGAATATGAGATACTAGTCTTGAACCGAGCATTCATGTCAGTCATAATTTCATGTCCCTGATATACCCAGCCATTCAAAAAAATTAACTCAGCCAGAAAACCACCCAACACCTTTTTGTTTACCTGTCTATGGTGAGGAAAAACTTGGGTTCTTGAACATGTATGTTTATCAATAAAAGTCTTAACTTGAAACATTTCGCAATCTTTTATTCTCTTTGCAATCATACGCCACGTACAGTTTTTGTCAATCATACACCTTGTTTCGAAACGATCTTTGCTTGATTTGTTAACTTTTAGTTGATAGCCATCTTCCACACATTTCGTATACAAAGCTATCTTCAAGTCTTCTTTTGTATCAAAACAATCATCTTTCTTGATACGAATAATTTTTGTGTAACAATCAACTGCTATCTTTACTAACTCTTCTTCCGGTATCTGAAGTACTTCTGGCATATTCCAGTTATACTCCCGTGGCATTTTCTTCGGGGACTTTTCTTTGGGGATTTTTTCTTATTCTTTTTCTTTTTCGGGGTTATATGAATTACAGAATGTATGTTCAACATGTTCATTTATAGTCGTAACTTCCTCCTCATTATCATCAACAACATCTTCCTCGGCAACGGCTGTTTCATCATCAAAATTCGGGAATTGACCAATATCAAAATCATTACACGCAGGGTCTGTTTCTTCTTCTAAAAAATCATCAAAATCCGAGTATTGACCAAGATCAAAGTCCGGGTATTGACCAATATCAAATTTCGAATACTGACTAGTACTCACAATTTTTTCTGTTGGCTCATCATCGTCTAACTGGTCAATACGAAAACTGGAATTTGGTGCTGAAAATTGATTGGGATTTGGATTAGGTAAATGTTGTGGGTTTTGAGATTGTGTTTGGTATTGGAAATGTGGTGAAACAATATTTGCTTGGTGATGAAATTGTCGTGGAACCATTAAATTTTGAGCACCATAAACTGGGGTTGAAAAACTTAGTTGATTACTACGCGCTACTGACCCAACTTCACTACTTCTAGGTTCAACAACATACAATGTAACATCATCACTTGAAACACTAATGTAAGCAATGAATCGTTCAACATCTTCATTGTCGGTTAACAAATAAACTTTACCATTTCTCTGATAAGATAGCCTAAATCCACTCAGGGGCTCTAAATTCAATTTATTTGCAACACGTAACATTAGAGTTTCATAAGTTAACTTTTTTAATGACAGTTTTAGTTGAAGATTCATGGGTAAAGGCATATATTGTAAAACACCATGAACATTCTCCCATGACCCTCCAAAACACAAATCTATCCAAACATGATCAACATTAGATGATTTCATTATTGTAAATTAATTTACTAAACAAACGAGCTGCGAAACTAAAACCTGTTTTCGGATGGGGAATGATGTCATTGGATATAGGAACGGATATCGCCAGAGAGAGTGATAGATGGAGATGAAATGAGTTGCGATTTAGGGATTTAGGTTATGAGTTGCTGCTGCTGCGTAGTTATATACCCAAAACATTTGTGTTGCGAAACTAAAACCTGTTGCGAATTCAGAAATCGAGTTGCGAATTTGAAATTCAGTATTGCGATAGTCAGAATCGCGTTGCGATAGTCAGAATCGCGTTGCGATAGTCAGAATCTCATTGCGATAGTCATAATCTCGTTGCGATAGTTAGAATCTCGTTGCGATAGTCAGAATCGCGTTGCGATAGTCAGATTCGCGTTGCGATTTACGTATTCGCATTGCGAATTAGGAAAATCGCAATGCGATAGTCAGAATCGCGTTGCGAATCTGGAAACTGATTTGCGATACCGGAGATCGCGTTGCGAATTATCGATCGCATTGCGATTTAGTTGGTCATTTTGGCAAATCCAAAAAAGTTGGTTAAAATCGTATATTATAAGGCATTTTTAGTCACTGAGGTTATTTTCTCTTATATTTTCTACTATAAATCATGTCACCACGATTTGACGATCCATATCAACGACAAATATACACAAATAAGGAATACAAATTGAATAGATGCTTGCAAGCTGCTGCGGCAGGAGAATGGTCCTACTTTTTAGTTTAATGTTGCCTATACTTTAGAAAATACTAAATACAAATTTTAATTGTTAATTTATTAAAATATTAATCATGTATGAAATTATAAATAGTTCAAGAAGATGAACGGAGATTGATTCAAATGGTAAGTAACTTGATATCGCTTAAGCAAGTTTTGAGTTCGAGTCTTTGTTAGTGCAGAAAATCTCCGTTGAGAGACTCACCCACTACAGTCGGGTGTGCAACCCAGATCGGTCCAGACAAATCAAGGTAAAACCTTGAAAATCGAGAAGGTCAAAAAATAGTTTAAGGAAAATATTATTCGTAAAATTATTTTTCTACGTGTAATATATCAGATAATAATTCACATGAATAACATGAATAATAAGATTAATATTTAATGCACTTTGAGCGAAAATTTAAAAAAAGAGAGTTAAAGACTCATTTTTCTCTTTTTTTCACTTAGGATTGTAAATGAATAGAGCGTTCAGTGAACTGTTTATGAACGATTAATATAATGTTTGTTTATGTTCGTTTGTTAAGCTAAATAAACGAGTATAAACAAAAAAAATTATGTTCATTTAATAAACGAACACGAACAAATGTGTCTTTGGTTCATTTATGTTCACAAAAAAGTTCGTTTATTGACTCGTTCATTTATGTTCATGAACAAGCTCGTTTACATGGTTCTCCTTTTTCTTTTAATTTTTTTACATTTTAAATATTGTTGAAGGTGGAGACTGAATTGACACATGATAAAAGTTGGAATTTAAATTGTGGATCTTAAGGAGTTTAATTACTAGTGGTGTAATTTTATCATTTTCTTTAGTTGTGCAAATGAAAGGGTAAAACTAAAAATTGAATATATGATAAACAAAAAATAAACGAACACTAAATGAACATTAAGCAAACATTAAACGAACATTAAACGAACACTAAACAAACATGTTTGTGAACGCTAAATGAACACGTTCGCGAACATTAAACGAACACAAACCGGACACGAACACCTTTCAAGGATTCACCCTGACTAATTCGGACTGATCCGCATCGCATACCTGATTTTGGCGGGTGAGTCTCCCAACAAAAATTTTATGCATACACAAAGCCTCAAATTTAAGACATATTAAGCAATATCAAATTGTTTACCACTTGAACCAACATTGTTCATGTACTTGGGTTCATTGTAAGCGTCTTACATATATTTTATAAAAAATAAAAAATAAAGAGTATTTATTATCCTTTTAACTTATAAAAAATTATATTGATAATATACTTGATAATAATCCTATTTTAATTTTAAAGAAGCATTTGGTTCGTCAAAAATAATATTTCGAATAATAACAATCTTTTTTTCAAAATCTATTCATTTGTTTGGTTTAAATTGGAATATATTGTTTTACCAACAATAATATTTTTTTAAACAAATAGTGAAAATGTTGGTAAAACCTGGAGTATTACATTCACACGTTTACATGAACTCTCCACTTTCTCTCTTTCTCAGTGCTTTCTGACTCTAGATTTCTTTCATTCTCATTCTCAATCTGGATTTTAAGTGATTTAGGTTCATCTTGTAAGTTTTAAGTACTCCTTTTTCAATGTGATTTGTTGGAAGATCAAATAGTGATTTGTTTGTTTGCTTTCATATTCTTACAGTATTATAGGTTTGATCGTAGATTCTATGTTTGTGTTGTTTCGTTTCCAAGTTGTTTTCATTTTTAATCTGTTGGTTTCAAGATTTTTTATTAAACGAATAAGGTTTCCTGCTATTTTCTTTATTAATCAGTTTGTGTACTTAAACAGGACATTACCAATCGGGCATGATGACTAATACAACAGCTGGTTGTAGTAAGAGTAAACAGAACATACATGCATATATATATATGAGTAGCTTGCCAAGTGCTAACATAATGGATAGGAACAAGTGAAAAAATGAGGAAGAAGAAAGCTAAGCAATCCTGATTCGATCTTTAAAGCTTAGAGCTTCCGGCAATGTCGATAACAAAACGGTATCTAACATCATTCCTGGCGAGGCGATCCAAAGCTTGATTGATTTGGTCTGGCTTGATAAGCTCTACATCGCACGTGATGTTATGCTTCCCACACACATCCATCATCTCTTGCGTCTCTTTCATACTGCCAGTCATGCTTCCCTTCACCGATCTCTTTCCTGTAAAAGGAGGAACATGGAAAGTTGCTTTATTTAATTTCCTCCTCCATATTATCGACAGGGGAATGTGAAATCGTACCAAATATTAATGGAAAGGACGGCAGCTCCATTGGCCTGTCTGGTGCCCCCACAACCGCTAAAGTCCCATTCACTTTGAGCAGTTCCAAGACAGGTCCAAGTGAGTGCTGTGCTGACACAGTGTCCAAAATAACATCTAGAGTCCTCTTACCTCTCTGTTAATATATCGCATGATCCAACAGGTTCAAAACGGTTTTTTACCAAAAATGCCTCTGGGAAAGTAAAATTAAAAGAGTGCCAAACCTGCATTTGTTCATCATTAGTGCTCACTATGAAAGAATCGGCGCCCAGACGCTGTTTAGCCTCGTTCTCTTTCGACGGAGAAGTGCTGATGACGGTTACGTTATGACCAAATGCCTTTGCCATTTTAACAGCAACATGACCAAGACCCCCCAGGCCGACCACTCCCACTTTTTTCCCCGGTGACTCCAGCAGTTGGCAATCTTTCATGGGGGTAAAAACTGTTACCCCAGCACACAATAGTGGGGCTGCTGTATCCATTGGCAGGTTATCTGGTACGTGGACAACGTACCTGCATAACAAATATCCCAAAAATAAATCATTTTGTAAAATAAACTATATATAAATATGGGTCTGGCAATGATAAACTGACCTGTGATCAGCAACTAGCATATCGGAATATCCACCGTAAGTAATGCTGCCATCCCAGAAAATACCATTGTAGGTGAACTGGATCTGATCACAGTAGTTCTCCTGTGAGTTTTTACAGAATTCACATTCCAAACAGGATGCTGCCAAGCAACCAACTCCCACCCTGTCCCCTATTTTGAAGTTCTTCACGTTGCTGCCCACCTTGGTGATCACCCCAGTAATTTCATGCCTGCATAAGTAACAAGACTCCATAAAAAAACAAAGAATTTCATACCCAAATGATTCAATTTAAATTCTTTGAAAAAGATAAGATTAAAAGTTTGAGGATGATAACTATAAAGGAAATTACTAAACTAGAAAGGGCGTGAAAAGAATAACCACTTTCCCAAACTTCAATCACCCTTTTAAACAAATTTCCTAGAACAATTGTCTTTGACTCCCTCTAGTCACTAATTTATTTCCTGGAATAAAGTGAAAAAGATTATGTGTCCATAAAATGAACAAAACACACAAGATACCCCAGGAAAACAAAACAACAAACTAAAGCATTACTGTCGCGCACATATTGTAATTATTTAGTTTTAACTATTAAAAAAATAAACAAAAGTGATTGGCTGAGTCTGTTGTAGCTTCAAATAAACGAAAATAATAGAAGAAAAGAAGCGATAATCTTTACCCAGGAACTACAGGGTACATCGTGATACCCCAATCGTTGTTAATAAAGTGGAGGTCAGTGTGGCAGATCCCACAGTACATCACTTTGATACTCACATCGTTCACGCCGTTTACCCTGTTTCATATTATCATCGTTCCAGGGTTAGTAACAGAAAACAACTCATGCGAGTAGCTAAATACATAAATACCTTCGTTTGAAGATGTAAGGGACGATCTTGCCGAAGGAATCGTGAGCCGCCCACCCTGCTACGGTCTGGGTGTGGTTAGGCGTAGTTTCTAAAGCCATGGGGAAGAAGAGAAGAGTGAACAAAGAAACAAGTGATGAGAAAGAAGGCTGTAGTATGCGTATTCAATGTAGAAATGAAGCAGGGATATCAGGGCATCCCGAAGATGAGCGTATTTATAGAGAGCGTCAGTGAGTTAGTTAATGAAAGAGTGGAGACTGTTATTTCTTTCTTTTACCAACCCAAAACTATTATTTTCGTCTTAAACAAAAAAAAAGGTGTAAATTACGTCGTCAGTAACTAAATTATTACGGCTTTTCTACTTTGCAAATTACTGTTCAATATCTACCATATAGCCCTTTCAGTTTGAACGAAGCTTGTGGGACAAATGTGTAAAGGTAGCCATACGTATAGGATTAGTTTTAATCAATAGAACAGACCATTATTATTTGAACAGACCATTAAGAGCCATCAATACTTATAAGATTAGCTTGTGGGCTACAATACCAGAATTTGAGCTGCATAACTTTTTCCAAGATGCACATAGGTGAGAAATTAAGTAAACCTAATATAATTAAGAGCCGTCAATACCTTATACAACCAATTGATACTGTTCTGGGTGCAATGAAAAAAACGATTACTTGTTATGAAAGAGGGGCGTAATTTGAAGTGCAATGAAAATGTAACTTGGTGGAGCCGTTGACGAAGTCAATCAGCTGGTGACTAAGACAATTGGACAAAAGATGGGTAGTTGAATGATTTTCCAACTTCTCCACTTACCGCAGGCTACGAAGCTTCAAAGTTCAAAGTGTTTTAAAGGGGTCAAATTAAAAACGACCTCTTTGTTTACTGCGGGTGGGACCTTTTTGATTTTTCTTATGAAATGTGCATTGTCGTGTCACTTGTCGCCATTTTCTGGACGCGCTTTTCACATTTTGCAATCCATTATCTATGGCCCCTCCCACGAATTCACTACTTTTTTATATTTGTGCGTCTCATCATTCAAACTGCTGGCCAACACCACTGCTCCTGAAGGCCTCAGTGTATTTCTTTATTAAGCAATTGTTGAACTTATAATTCGAAATCGTTCAATAATAAAAAAATGTGAAATTAAAATAGAACCTGTAATCGGATAGAACTGAATAAATAGAAGAAGAGTTTTGTTGAGGCCTGAATGAACAGTTTCCTTAAGACAGATTCGTTCTCTCCTCGGTGCTTTGAGTAACGTTGGACGTCGGTCTTCCAGGATACAACAACAAACGTTCACAATAGTAAGCACAACCGTAGTGAACAATCGAACACAATCTTTGTCTTTATCTATCACCGGAAAATGACTTTGGAATAATCAGATAATTGAAAGGAAAGTACTTGAAAGAAAATAGGGAGAGGAATTTGTATTGAAAGGTTAAGACCTTTAAATGAAATGACTTAACCATTTGATTAAAAATTATAACCTTTTGATCAAAAGATTAACATGAAAAGACATGACATTTGGGGTGAAATGAAATAACTATTTTTCATGAAATGACTTAATTATTTTTCATGAATAGTCATGATTTAATAAATCAATTCATTCATATTTTTCCAACAATCCCCCAAATGAATGAATTTGATTGTTTAAAACATTGACTCGATGTGGTGATAGATTCTACGTTCGATATTTGCATAAGATAGGTAGGTGTCCCCCTTTAAACCTTCCCTTGTGAAAATATGTTTACCTTACTGGCTGTCCAGTAGACGTGATGTCCTTGAACTGTCATGCCGTTTGTGTAAGCGATGACATACCTCACACAAATATCTTACTGACAAGAATTTCGTTCTCATGGTTATGTCCATATAGCCGTGGACATCTCCTGGTTCTGCAAGAGCTTAGAGAACTATGCTCCAATAGTCTCTTTGAAGCGGCTCCACTTCACTCTCACATAGGTGACTTATGATGTTAGGTTCAACGAAACACATATTGGTCAATAAAAGCATTGCTTAACCTTATCCACATTTTAGCCACTGTTTTCATCATAGGAATGGGCTTGGGGATAAAATTCCCCCACAGTGACCTCACCATGTCTATACAAGTAGGTTGTCCCATTGAACCTAGATCTTGGGATCTCCAGTCAACTAGGTTGGGGTTTCCTTCACATAGAGCCTTAACAATTCATGGGCTTTAGTCCAATTCCTCTTGATGTTTTATCAACTTGATCTCGATTCAACCCTTTGGTTAGCGGATCCGTAATATTATCTTTTGATCTTACAAAATCAATAGAAATAACTCCAGTTGAGATCAATTGTCTAATGGTATTGTGTCAACGTCGTATGTGTCTCGACTTACCATTATACATTACATTTTGTGCTCTACCAATTGTTGCTTGGTTATCACAATATATACATATTTTGGGTACAGGCTTTGGCCATTCAGGAATTTCCTCCAAAAAATTTCGTAACAATTCTGCCACTTCTCCAGTTTTGTCCAAGGCTACAAACTCAGATTCCATCGTGGATCTGGTTATAATTGTTTGTCTTGAGGATTTCTATGGCACAGCTCCTCCTCCCAAAGTGAAAATATAACCACTTGTGCCTTTGGTATCTTGAATATCATATATCCAACTGGCATCAGAGAATCCTTCTAACACAACAGGATCTTTAGAATAATGCAATCCATAGTTTCGAGTATATCTGAGATATCTCAATACCCTTATAATTGATTTCCAGTGTTTCTCCCGTGTAATGCTTGTAAATATGCTTAAATTGCTTACATTGAAAGCAATAGCAGGTCTAGTGCAACTCATAAGGTACATTAGATTGTATATGATCCTTTCATATTATACTTGATTAACATTTTCACCTTTATTTTTAGATAGATGTTGACTTGTATCTATCGGAGTTTTGGCTACACCAGAATCATCCTTGCCAAATTTTTCAAGAATCTTGTCTACATAGTGTGACTGAGTCAATATGAGACCTTTAGATGACCTTTTGATTTGGATGTCCAAAATCATGCCAGCAAGTCCCATATCTTTCATGTCAAATTTTGAATTTAACATATTTTTGGTACGTTTTATCATTTCATTGTTATTTCCAACGATGAGTATGTCGTCAACATATAGGCATAGGATTACACATCCATCAATAATGATTTTAACATATACACATTTTTCAAACTCATTTATTTTAAATCCATTTGATATCATAACACTATCAAACTTTTCATGTCATTGATTTGGTGCTTGCTTAAGTCCATATAATGACTTTACCAACTTACATATTTTCTTTTCTTGTCCTGGTGCTACATAACCCTCAAGTTGTTCCATGTAAATTTCCTCATCAAGGTCTCCATTAAGAAAAGTGATCTTAACATCCATTTGATGTACTTCTAAATTCTATAAAGCGGCAATTGCAAGTATAATTCTTATAGAAGTTATTCTTGATACGGGTGAATATGAATCAAAGTAATCAAGACCTTCATTTTGTCGGTACCCTTTAATAACCAATCTGGCCTTGTACTTATCAATTATTCCATCTGCTTTCATTTTCATTTGAAAATTCATTTAGAATTTAATGGTTTAATTCCATGAGGAAGATCCATTAATTCCCACGTATGATTTTGCAAGATGGAATCAATTTCACTCTTGATGGTATCTTTCCAAAAATTACTTTCAGATGATCGTATAGCTTCGCTATAAGTTACAGGTTCAGTCTCTAACATATAGGTTAGAAAATCTGATCCAAAGGATTTTTCTACCCGTGCCCTTTTACTTCTTCTTGGCTCTATCTCGACTTCAACCTCTTGTTGGAAGTCTTGACTATTTTCATTAATAGTTTCTAAAGTTCATTTCCTTGAACTCGAGCCAACTTCTCTAATTTTACAAGGAAATATATTTTCAAAGAATGAGGCATTTTTAGATTATAATATCGTATTCTTGTGAATTTATGGATTCTTTGATTCATGCACAAGAAATCGATATGCATTGTTGTGGTGAGCATAGCCAATGAAAATACAATCCACTGTTTTAGGACCTATTTTCATTTGCTTTGATAAAGGAGCCATTACCTTTGCAAGACACCCCCACACTTTCAAGTAATTGTATGAAGGTTTCTTGTCTATCCACAACTTATATGGTGTCTTGTCTTTTTTCTTGCGGGGAACCTTATTTAAAAAGTAATTTGCTGATATGACAGCTTCCACCCACATGTTTTGTGACAACCCAAAACTTCCTAGCATAGCGTTCATCATTTCCTTTAATGTTCGATTTTCCACTCTGCTACTCCATTCGATTGAGGAGAGTATGGTGGTGTTACTTCATGAATAATACCATGTTGTGCACAATATTGACCAAATGGTTCAACATATTCACCACCACGATCACTTCTCACCCTCTTAATCCTTTTGTTAAGTTGGTTTTCAACTTCTTGCTTATAGAGAATAAAATTTTCTATAGCTTCATCTTTACTTTTAAGCAAATATACATAGCAATATTTTGTGCTATCATCAATGAAGGTAATAAAATATTTATTCCCTCCTCTATTTTGAACAAATTTTAAGTAAAATACATCACTATGTATTATATCAAGAGGTTCTGTATTTCTTTTAACGGGTTTAAATGAAGACCTTGTTAGTTTAGCTTCAACACATGTTTCACATTTATGATTATAATTAATGTGAAATAGAGGAATATGTTCTAAGTTAATTAATCTATGTAAAGTATCTTAGTTAACATGTCTGAGTCTACCATGCCATAAATTTAATGACTCAATCATATAAACAGAAGAAGAAGAAGAATCATTCTTATTTATATTTTTAGCTTTTACAGAGATATCATTGAGTTTCCACATATTGTTCAATACATATCCCCTTCCCACAAATATTCCCCTTTTGATAAAACTAACTTATGGGATTCAAACACCATCCTAAAGCTATGTATACTTAGGAGGGTCCCAAAGACAAGGTTCTTTCGTATGTCAGGAACATACAACACGTTTTGAAGTTTCAACTCTTTTCCAGAAGTCATCTTTAAAATTACAGTGTCTTTCCCCTTGATCGTGGAAGTTGCAACATTGCCCATATAGAGCTTTTCTCCTTTCTCACAAGAAACCAACTCAGCAAATGAGTCCTTGTCACAACAAATATGGTGTGTGGCACCAGTATCAAGCCACCATTCTCTTGGAT